TTCTGTTTTAATTATAACGTGTACCTAATAAATCTATTGTAATAGGGACTGAATATCCGTTTTCTGATAATTTATAGGCAAAAATTTGCACCGGTCCAGTCTGGTTTTTTTTTTAAATATATGTTGATTGGCAACTTGATGTCAATATTATATCGATATTATATCACTTCCAGCTGCCATATTGATCGGCGCTCTTTTTATGGAATTTATAAAACGTTTTTGAGGTTAGATCTGTATGGTAGATATGCATCTATGTGTTTACTTACATTATTATTAAAAATATATGGACAACATTTTTGAGTAATTTTTAAGGCCTTCATTGCACCAGAGTCCAAATTCGTCAAATTTACTTATTAACATAACTGCCGAATGTGAAATGGACCTTGTCACTTTTCCCGGAATGCAACCAAACGCAACCACCGAAATTTCGCCGTTTTTGTAGACTTAAATTGTTACGTTCTTCCAGTAAATATGTGGTAATAAATCTTGAATGAACATATTTCCGTTCATTAATTACAAATTAAAAAAGTCAACTAACTTTTGGTAGTTTCAACGAAAAGGGAGTTGTTCTGGTTTATAATGATTATTTACTACTTACATATATATACATAGATGAGAGACCATAACGATTATAATAAATAAAATTGAATATTGTGTATAATTACCATTGAACAATGAAAAAGTTGTTTTCGTATCCTGGGACCAAAAATTGTACAAGTAAAAACTGTTTCATCTTTTCCTAATAATAAGCTTTTATTGTTTCTCTCCTCGCAGGACGATTATTTTACCATGGAAATTGTTTTTGCTTTCTCATAATAATTATCGGGGACGAAATGATTTGCGTCTTCTTATAATAACTATATGGGACTTTTATTTTTTTTCGTCTCGCGGGACGAAAAAAAATAAAAATCCCATATAGGTAATTATTATCTTGAAATAAACGTCCCGAGAGACGAGAAAAATAAAAATCCCATATAATTATTTTGAGATGACGCAAATAATTTTCGTCTTGAAATAAACGTCCCGAGAGACGAGAAAAATAAAAATCCCATATAATTATTTTGAGAAGACGTAAATAATTTTCGTCTTGAAATAAACGGTCCCGAGAGACGAGAAAAACAAAAATACAAAACCGCGTATCAACCAAATGCAAAACCGCGTATTTGAGGTTGCATGAATTATTTTCTAGAGAGTAAAAACACACATATTTCAAAATAGTTCTCTTTTTTTATAAAGCAATCGCATTTCTGGCTAGGATATTTCAGGACGAATGGATAAGGATTGAGCGAAGAGCTTGTGTGAGCAAATCAAATTTTTGGCAGCAAATGTCAGTTACGCGGTTTTGCAGAATGACGATACGCGGTTTTGTACTTTAAACGACGATAGGCTTTAGTAAGTTATTTTTAAGCCCTGATTTCGATATATACATGTACATATCTTCTCATTATTTTGCCTTGCATTTCATGCATGCTTTGTTTTAATCTTAACAAATCTCTTCAATTTTTTCACACATTCTTCAGTCCATGCATTTTAACTTTTCACAACTTAAGTGGAATTGATGAGCAATATTGAATGAATTTAAACTTGACACGTACATAACATACTTTCCCATCGATACACGAACAGTCAGCCAACCATCCCCCTCATTAGAGAATGCAGATATGTACATATATATGTAAGTATGTACTTTCCAACCATCCCTAAATAATGGCTTGAAAATGGGCGGGCGGGCGTTCGATCGGTCGGTCGCACGCCTGTAGTGAGTTGATTTATCAACGAGCTAAGGCTTGGCTCTAACAAAAAAGGAAAAAATAAAAAATCAACAAAGAAAATAAAACTTCAAACTGCAGATTAGTTTACAATTTACATTACTCATTGTTGGCTGTACGTACAGTCGATAAGTACCAGAAAATGGTGTAGATAATACAAAAAATAAAACAGTTGCTGTTTTAAGTGAAAACTGCATGAATGCACGCAAGCATATAGTAAATACGCATATAAAAATATAAATATGTACATACATATGTATATACACATGTATGCAGCAGTATGTATGGCTGTATTAAGTTGTTAATTATGTTGTTGTTGTTGTTTGGTTATTTTGTTGTTGCTGCGCTGCTTCGGTGCTGCTCTGTTAATCCTTTTAGGCATTTCTTTGACATTTCATTACAGATATCGTTCGCCATTCGCCGCCGCCGTTCTAGTACACTCCTTGTCTCTCGCTTGATATGATTCAGTTGCTTAATAACCCATGCCTTACAACTGTACGAGTTCTTTGTGGTTGCTGTCATTATTCCTGCTGCCCTTGTTGCGGTTGTTGTTCTTGCATTATTTTTGAGCGCTTGTCTTTACATTGACGACGGGGTGGGGAGCTCTTGTAACACATGCATACGTACAATATACAAGCCAGCACTTACCCTGCAGAAAATCTGACTAGCTCAGAATTAGCGTAGAACTAGACCTTTTGCCGACAGTACTAGTTCTAGCCCAATACGCAAGCAATGTTTTCAACTGTCCAGTTTTACACAGCGATGCCATTGGCGGTGGCATTTGTCGCTCAGTGTATTTCTTTGCAACGAGTTTTAGACCGGTTCCGCTTTGGACAGTTTTTTTTTTTAAGAAAACGCTTTTAAGATTCAATTTTTTGATATTTTTCCGTGTTTTGTTTTTTTTACAGATTTTATGTTTGTTACAAATTTTATTTAAAAAAAATATATATATTGTAAGCGGCACGGAAAAATTTAAATTCATTAAATCTGAAAACTCACAACTGTCTCCACCGCGATTTGAACTCGCGACTACCACTGCTTGAGTCGGAGTTCTTCTCGCTGAGCTACTTTCATATTATTTGTACACTTAAATACAGCGCAAGTTTCAACTGTCCCGCTCTGTAGACGTTTTGCACTAGTTCAGAGATAATTCTGAAATATTTAGTTCGGAACTAGCGCTTTGCCAGACTGTCTCTAAATTTATCTGCAGGGTATTCATGCATACATAACAAGCGCATATACAAATCCATGCGTACAGACGTACAGTGACCCACAAATTCATGAAAAAATAACCCAAAGAGGATGTTTAATTCTTTTCAGCGCGATAAAGCGATATAGGCATTTTTCCTACATGTCTGCATGTCTATTCCGTCAGTAGGTACTGGTTCCGACGTTTAAAAAGTGATGACAACCCACAAGGGCGAAGAAAGTACAACAACGTTTTTGTAGACGCTGAATTTGAGGCAATTTTGGACGAAAGACCGTGCCAAACCGAAAAATATCTTGCGGCGATATTAGGCGTGACTCAATAAGACATTCCATTGTATTTGAAAACCATTGGTATGGAACGTAGTGTAACTAGTGAAGCTCATGAAATGTAACAAAGTAGCATTTTTGACGAAATGGCAACGTTGCGAACGAAATTGTACGAACGACCTATCGCAAACTCCGGATTCCAAATGTAAAAATTTTTCGAAATGCCGCGCATAAGTGAAGAAGAAAAGATTTTACAATTACTATATATTTCGAAGCAGCTTTAACTGATAAACATTTTCTTGAAGTATCATTGACCTTCCACCATGAGAACAAATGGTCAACGAATTTGCAACTTTTTAAATAGATCTTCTAGAAAGATTCGAGTATGCAGTTTTGTAGCCCATTACATTTTAGTACAATAAAGGTTCCAAGTTGCTAAAAAATTGCCAAAAATGGCGTTACAAAATTTGAGACTTATTTGATATTCCCAAGTTTTGCAAAACGTTTTGGCATTTTATCTTTATGTTTTTGCCGTAATATTAGCCATGTTTTTACAAAAAATTATCAAAAAAAATTATTTAAAAAACTTTTGTCCGTAAAATAATAATAATATATTGGGGCTTACACATATGTTAGTGTTTGGCCGAGCATCTCCTCCGACTTTGGCCGTGCGCCTTGATATTGTCACACAAAGCGGAGGGACCTACAGTTTTACGCCGACTCCGAACGGCGATTGTGTTTTTATGAGAAGCTGTTTTTCATGGCAGAAATACGCTCGGAGGTTTGTGATTGCCTGCTGAGCGACGACCGCTATTAAGAAAAAATATTTTTTCTATATTTTTTTGCGATGTTGTTTTGACCAAGGTTTGAACCAAGGTGCTGCGGAGTGGAAGCGCGCCTGTGCTTTGGATTCAAGATGGTAAATATCTGAGATGAAAAATATTATTATTAGGGCATACTGCTAATCCATATATTTCAATTTTCTTACACCATGCACTTCATATAACGACTCGACTGTTATTGTTAAAATTTGACAAAAAATCATGAAAAATTATGCCGTTAGAGGCAAAGGCCGCTGAAACAAATGTTTTTTTTTTTGTTAATAGCAAAGGAAATTTGCGAATGGCCTACATTTTGTTTTTATATTTTCAATAAAACACTTTTCAAGCGTAAGGGTCAGTCATTTTCAAGCTTTTTTTAATCGACGATTTTTCAATGTTCTGTAAATAAAAATCTTGATATTAAATGATTATTTTCGGTCCCTGGAATAAATAAAAGTCTGCTAGAGCCATTAGTGCTCCATACTATCGGGGTTTGAATTCATCTATTCAAAATCCTGAATTTCTGCTATAATGATCAGTTTTAGAGGCCACTGTTTATACACATCAATAAGTACAGATTTTACATATATACATAGGAGTACCACATACAATCATGCACGCCTCGCACGACGTACAGTGTGCACGTCGGCGACGGTGGCGGATTGGCACAACACAACACATTTGAAAATGGAAAGTAAACAATTCCGCTTTAACTTCAATGGCAGAGCTGCTGATGGTGGTGGTGCTTGAGTCAGCAGTGGCGTTGGCGCTGGCATTGCCTTGGTCGGCGTCATTGCTGTCAGCAAGTGTTAAATATGCAGCTACATAGCTCCCTTCTTTTTATGTCGCCTTGGTTGAAGAGATGCGCGCTGCACAAAAAGGGCAGCAGGCAGCAAGCAGTCGTTAGTCAACAGGAAAATGACAACATTTGTAAACGAAACGCTGCAGTTTTTTCTGTTTTTTCTAGTGTTTTTCTTTTTATTATTATTATTGTAAAAATATGATACACTGCCATTCGCTGCCTAGTAGGTATACCGGCTACCAATTAAGCGTAACTTCTTATTTATTGTGTGCAGCGTTGTATAGATTTCTATGATTTTTCTTCCTCCTTTTTTTTGTTAGCGTGGTTCGTTATCAGTGCAATGCCATCCACCATCAGCTATTTATGTAAACTGAGAAATGAGAATTAATAAACATCCGTCCATGTCATTGTATCGTAATTGCGTCTCATTAAAGCGATAGGAATTTCAAATAAAAATATGTATGTATGTACATATAACAATTTCTAAAAAAAAGAAATGCTACCCAAACGCCCAATATCTAGCGCTTCGATCAGTACAATCTTAAAATTACACTTTTACCCACAAAGCAAAGCCACACATGCATTGACTGTGGAATTATTTATGTGCATTCAATAACTATGAACGGATGTTGGCATCTGCATCGTCAAATTTGATATAAATTTCAAACAATGCAAGTAAGAAAATTTATGTATCTACACAATACACCACCCTGATATAAATGACACTTCAAACAAATTCTGACTCAGACATGCCACTAAAAAGTTTTATTTGATTATGTACATATTTCTTTTTCTTGTATGCCGACATGCCGTCAATGACCGGAAAAGTTACAAACGACAATTAAGTACATATTAATCAATTAAGGCAGCGTTAAACTCGTAATTAATTCGTTAACACAATTATGTTACAATATTGAATGTGTGAACATATGAACATTTCTTTCGAAAGTTTCTTGCCATAGGAAACTACAAAAGAACAAAAGTATTTCTCCTATGCAAATTTTTTCCCATAATTTATTGTTAGCAACAACAAAAAATGTCCAATAGAATGAACAAATTGGCATTACGCAGCTCATGTTATTCATCATAAACAAATTTTAATTAATCAATTAAGTAGTATTTTTAGATTTGGGACTTAAATGTATTGAAAAATTGAAGTTATCGAAATTTTGAAAACCTACCAACCAAATCTGATAGTAGATAGTTTTCACTAGATATATGGGGACAAAACTTTTCAAACCTGTTTATCCATTGACAACATTTATGACCATACGTCCAGACGGCGCAAGAACCTCAGTAATGGGCTTTAAAGGTTCTTTTGGCGTAAGAGCTGTATAATGGGGGTTCGAGCCGAAGATATCACAAACGATTTATACGGCCGTTGTGTCATTACAATTACATTCCATCTTACTTTTAAAAATACCTAAGGGACTGAACTATTTTCCCTCATCAGTTGTCAAATTGGGTTTGGAGACAAACCGGTTTCGGCGCTGTGTCACCTTCAGTGTCATTTTTCCTTCTTACCTCCAAACCAAATTTGACAAGGGATGATGAGGGTTAGTCGAAACGACTAACACCAACTTTGAATTGAAATTACAAATATAAAACAGTTAAAAAGGAAATTAAATTTTATGATTTTTAGTTCTTTATATTTTTTAAAACACATTAATAAAATATTAAATACATACATATTCTTTTCTCTGTGACATATAATAAACAAAAAGGTAAATGACTTCAGAGAGCGGTACGAAGCGAAATACCATTTTTGTTAGTCGAATCGTCTAGCAAAGCACGTTCAGGGTTAAGTAGGAATCCAAGTTTTGGAAAACTTTTGATTCATGCATATACATAAATGCCGCTGGCGATCTTTTATTATGCCCACCTTTTAAATAGCTGCTGAGGCGCGGACAATGTCAAACAAAAGATGAGCGGGCTTTGGGCTTATTCGAGACAACAATTATACGTAAAAAATATGGCCCTGTTCGCGTTGGCGCGGTTACCGAAGAAGAAGGAAATGTTGAAGCTTTATAAACACACTGGGTTGGACATGTCGTACGAATGGGTGAAAAAGCTCCGGTAAAATAATCCTTCGATTCAACATCCATGGGGGGAGAACTAAAACAAAGACTCATGAACACAATCGAAGGACTTAGTGCAGAAAAAAATATCCACCCATGGTTTAAATATCAGGCAAAGCTTCTCAATGTAGAGAGGAAAATGATGAAGTACAAACGGTTGTAGGTTATCTCAAACTGATACGGCCAAAGCAGTATACATAGTATTCAACTCACAAAGGTACTGTGGTCAAAATTTATCTAAGTGCTTGGGCTTGTCATCTAGAAAAAAATATATAAAATTCGACCAGCAAAACTGCCTGTCTTACTCGGTACTCCTACAGTATTTAGGAGCGCTACTTTTGTATGTACTCGTGAGTTTAATAAGAAATTAGGTGTACTTCCTTACAAGGATTCTCACGGATCACTTTCTGTCAACTAAATAAAAGAAAGAGAAGAAATCAATTTCCTTTTTGGTTGTTGTTGTTTCCGACAGGGTGGGTGTATGATATATTATGGAACGAATTTCCGTCATCCCTTGTCAAATTTGGTTTGGAGACAAACCGGTTTCGGCGTTGTGCCATCTTCAGTGTCATTTTTCGTTCTGCATAATTTTTGTTGGTTGCTCGTATTTATACTCCCACACGTTAACACATAAGGGATTATAATAAGAAAAAACGAAAACCAGAGGCTGCAATAGAATCGAACTTCGCGAATCACATGATCAAAAATAAATGCACACCAATGAAGATTGGACAAACAACAGAACTTCTCCGTGTACAACATAAAGGACAAAGATTGAATATATTAGAAAATATGGAAATATATAAACAGAAGACCTTCAAAGGACAAATAATAAATGAGCAAATAAATACTGCATCGGACGTACTGTTTGAACCTCTAAAACTACTGTACAAGAAGAAGAATGACAACAAGAAAATATTAAGGACAGATATGGAAGGGAATACACCGACTGCAAAAACAAAGGGGGTAAAAATCACGGACTTCTACCTGCCGTCAAAAACGAGCCAAAACAATTCATCTACCTATTGAGTACCGCAAACACTGCAAAACTAAAAAGACGTACCTAACAAAAGAAAGAGGTAGTTAACAAGGAGTATAAATACGAGCAACCAACAAAAATTATGCAGAACGAAAAATGACACTGAAGATGGCACAACGCCGAAACCGGTTTGTCTCCAAACCAAATTTGACAAGGGATGACGGAAATTCGTTCCATAATACATCAGAAGAAATCAACTTGCAACACTTTGCCGTCCGATCTTACGAGATATGCGGGGATTTAACAGTTAAATATATGTACATATTTAGAGCAGTGATAGAAAGAGAGTAGAATTCTCAAAAAAGCAAAAAACCCANAACACATAAGGGATTATAATAAGAAAAAACGAAAACCAGAGGCTGCAATAGAATCGAACTTCGCGAATCACATGATCAAAAATAAATGCACACCAATGAAGATTGGACAAACAACAGAACTTCTCCGTGTATAACATAAAGGACAAAGATTGAATATATTAGAAAATATGGAAATATATAAACAGAACACCTTCAAAGGACAAATAATAAATGAGCAAATAAATACTGCATCGGACGTACTGTTTGAACCTCTAAAACTACTGTACAAGAAGAAGAATGACAACAACAAAATATTAAGGACAGATATGGAAGGGAATACACCAACTGCAAAAACAAAAGGGGGTAAAAATCACGGATTTCTACCTGCCTTCAAAAACGAGCCAAAACAATTCATCTACCTATTGAGTACCGCAAACACTGCAAAACTAAAAAGACGTACCTAACAAAAGAAAGAAGTAGTTAACAAGGAGTATAAATACGAGCAACCAACAAAAATTATGTAGAACGAAAAATGACACTGAAGATGTCACAACGCCGAAACCGGTTTGTCTCCAAACCAAATTTGACAAGGGATGACGGAAATTCGTTCCATAATACATCAGAAGAAATCAACTTGCAACACTTTGCCGTCCGATCTTACGAGATATGCGGGGATTTAACAGTTAAATATATGTACATATTTAGAGCAGTGATAGAAAGAGAGTAGAATTCTCAAAAAAGCAAAAAACCCATTCAGTAAAATTCGCATGGCTTTCAAATTAATCTTAAATATATACATAACTTTTTCTTGAATATTATACTTTTGTCATACTGACAGATCTGACATCTTCTGGTTTCTATGTTTTGCCTAGCTCTTCAATTTCGTCTCAATAAAATAAAACAGAGTGCTTGTTTATCGGGAGTGTCGGGAAAAGATTTTTGTCCCATCCCGACCGCAAATTTTTAGACATCTTCCCGATAGCGCCCATTCCGGCCATTTTAAAATTAGTACCGTGGTACCGATATTCCGCTCCCATCTTTAATGCGAAGTCAAACATTTTTCACTCTATCCAAGATAATAAATTAAAAAAGTTACATTTTTAAGGAATCAATTCTTGTGCACAAATTTTCCCCCAAGATTCAATTTATTGTTACAAATTGAAAAACTTCGTTTCACAAGCCGCTTGAAACTTGCACAAAACAAAAAAATTTGACTCGAAAAATATTATGAATATAAAAAAAATCAACACGTGGTCACTTGTTTGAGTCACTGTATGTATCTATTGCAAGAGATGTTTTGCCTTACCCTTTTCAACCTAATCTAAAAGCATAGGCAGACGACAGAGATATTCCGTAGTTGATCCGGATTAACTCGAACCAAAAATTTTTATTTTGATCTCTTATTTTTTAAACGACTTCTAAAAAAGTTCGTCGGAATATTTTTTTTCTTTTTTATGTATGTTACCGCATAACTTTCGATAATTATTTTTGCATCGGTAGTTTCAGAGGTGGTCCCATACTAATCCGGTTTAGATCCGATCATTGGATCTTAAGATATATATATATATATATTTTTTTTTTATATGAGAATTGGAGTCGGTTTTTTCGCTAAAAATTACTTGTTTTTAATTCGATTTGATTTATATGTTTTATTTTACTTTATTTTCTTTTCTTTTTGCTTTATTCCATTTCACATTATTTATTTTATTATTAGTTAAATAAAATTTTCAGAATTAACTTTTATTAAAAAAGTCCATAACAACTACAACTACATAAAAAATAAAAGTAATAAGTAAATGCATTTCAAAAAATATTAAACGAAAATTCTACTGCCGTCTGTCAAAGTTCAATTTCGATCAGATCAACTGCGCCGTTAATCCGACTCAACGTTGCGGTCTGTCTATGCTATAACTTAACCTAAACTTTAAACTGATCCAACAAAAACAAAAACAACAAGATTAAATACACTATCCTGATACATACGTAAAAATAAACAATTGGTGCATCAAAAAGGAAATAAATTTTTGCAAAGACGACTCCCTCGAGATCC